CGTGATCGAGGTCCGTCGGTCCAGCGCCTTGGCAGCTCTGGGTCTGCCCCTGTTCGAGCCTCCGGTAGTGGGCGTGGTAGTCATTGTGGCCTGTCCTGGCCCGTCCATCCCGGACCGGGGGGGACTGTCACGCATCCCTCAGGCTCTGACTCTCACTCGGACTCCATCTCCCAGAATCCTCACAGACTCCTGTGACCTCTGAACTGCCTTCACATTCCACTCAGCGCTCTCACTCTCCCGAATACTAATTTGATTCACCTGTTTCATAGGTCATGTGATATCTTTATAAGCCCAGGCTTTAGCATAGAAAGGTTGTGAAGCTCAGTATCGTTTTCAACCTACTGAGCATTCTATTGTATATCTGCTTTTCTGTTTATGACCATTTTGCCTGTTTTTCCCGACTCTGTCTTTTGCCTAACCCTTTGGATTGTCTGCCTTTTGATCTCTCACTGTTTTTTGGAATTTGCCCTTTTGGCTCGCCCTTTAGGTTGTTCTGCCGATTGTTATGTTTTTGATCTGGTTGTATTTTCTGGTTTTAACCCACGCCTGCTTTGTGACTACGAGCCTGTTTCACGTTTCCCTCAGTAAAGCCTCTCTTGATAATTTTAACGCGAGCATCTGACTCATTCTGTGCTGTTACACTAATGCACCCAGGTAAATTAAGCATTTACATTATCTGTGACTGTTTTCTCTTTATGATGTAATGATTTTTTTTCCATTCACTGTTAAAAAATATTTCATGTGGTTAGCTATTTAACTGGCTTTGTTCAACTCGAAGAAATATTTTCAATGAAACACTGCAAAGCAAAATGTCAGTTTAGATGAACAACAATCAACAATCAATATTGTACATCAGTTAAGTATTTTTAAGGTTTTAACATTTTATTTTATATATATATATATATATATATATATATATATATATATATATATATATAATATAAAAAAGATGTACAATAAAATTTAGCAGTAAAAATCATATAATCATGTTCAGGCTCTGGTCTCTGTATAGTTGTCCTGATGTTTTGCCTGTGCACACTACGAGTTAAACTTTGTTTTAAGATGTTGAAATGTGCTGAATAGAAACTTGGCTCAGATCCTCCAGCATCACTGAAGTATTAGAAGCATACAGATAGCCAACCAATAGCATGTAGGTTTAGTCTTTCTAATTAGCATACTGGAGAAAGAAATATAGAAATATACAAAAACCTATAAAGAAATATATATACATAAATAAGTAAATGTACAACTACATTTCCAAAAAAATTGGGACGCTGTGCAAAATGTACATAAAACCAAAATGTAATGCTGTGCAAATACTTTAAACCCTATGTTTCATTGAAAATAGTACAAAGACAACATACCAAATTTTAAAACTGATTTTATTTTGTTTTTTGAAAAATATTGCCCATTCTGCATTGGATGCCAACAACACGTTCCAAAACGTTGGGACGGGGCAACAAAAGGCTGGTAAAGTTGTGTAATGCTAAAAAACACCTGGTGGTTGATTGGCAACAGGTCAGACACATGATTGGGTATAAAGAGCATCTCAGAGAGGCGGAGTCTTTCAGCAGTAAAGATGAGGAGGGGTTCAGCACTCTGTGAAAGACTGCACCATCAAATACTGCAGCAATTCAAGAATAAAATTTCTCAACATAAAATAGCAAAGAACTTCTGCTTTTCATCATCTACAGTACATAAATCATTAAAAGATTCAGAGAATCTGGAGAAATCTCTGTATGTGAGGGACAAGGCTGAAAACCAGTATTTGCTGGCAGTGATCTTTGGGCCCTCAGATGGCACTGCATTAAAAACAGACATGATTCTGTAGTGCAAATCACTGCATGGGCTCAGAAACACTTCTGAAAACCACTGTCTGTGATCTTTCAGTTCATCAGTGTATCCACAAATGCAAGTTAAAACTCTAAAATGCAAAAAAGAAACCACATATAAACAGGATCCAGAAATGCTGCCTTCTCTGGGCCCGAGCTCATTTAAAATGGACTGAGGTGAAGTGGAAAAGTGTCCTGTGGTCCGACGAATCAACATTTTAAATTCTTTTTGGAAATCATGGACACTGTGTCCTCCAGGCTAAAGACCACTGAGCTTGTTATCAGTGCACAGTTCAAAAGCCAGGATTCATGGTGGTATAGGGGGGCATTAGTGCACATGGCATGGGTGACGTGCACATCTGTGAAGGCACCATTAATGCTGAATGATATATACAGGTTTTGGCCACATATGCTGCCATCCAGACGACGTCTTTTTCAGGGAAGGCCTTGATTATTTCAGCAAGACAATGTCAAACCACATTCTGCATGTGTTACAGCAGCATTGCTCTGTATTAAAAGAGTCAGGGTGATAAACTGGCCTTCCTGCAGTCCAGACCTGTCACCACTGATAACATGTGAAGGGTTATGAAATGAAGAATATGACAAAGGAGAGGCTGAACTGTTGGGCAGCTGAAATCCTGTATCAGACAAGAACAGGAAAGCATTTCACTTTCTAAACTACAGCAGCGTCTCCTCAGTTCCCAAACACTTACAGAGTGTTGCTAAAAGAAGAGGTGATGAAACACAGTGGTAAACAGGCCCCCGTCTCAACTTTTTTGGAATGTGTTGTTGGCATCAAATTCAAAATGGGTATATATTTTTGAAAAAACAAAATATCTCAGTTTCAACATTTGATATGTTGTCTTTGTCGTATTGTCCTTCAAAAACATGGTTTATGATGTGCACATCATTGCATTCTATTTTTATTTACATTCTGCACAGCGTACCAACTTGGAAATGGGGTTGTAGAATTACATACATGCATAAATAAATAAAACATCATTCATTCATGTATTATTTTTACTTTTCTACTACTCATTCATTTATTTAAATTTTTCTTTTTTTGTTTATTCATTTAGTTGTTATTTTGACCATTTTTGTCCTCAGTTTAATGGCAGTGGAAAAAAAAGCATAAATAAGTAATTAAATAAATTAAATCTAAGCAAGGGTGGAAAACTTGGATGAAAAATAGGTAACACTTTTTTTTTTAAATTGTGGACATTAATTAAGTCTTAATTCACTCCCCCTGATTAGTCTGCCTGCTTGTGCTTTTTCTTTGGAGAGGATCTAATTTTTCATGAGAAGATCTGAATGAAAACTCTGAGCAGAGCAAGAAGACCAACTGAGAGTTTAAAGAGTGAAAGTTTGTAGGTTTCAGATGACGAGTGTAAGGGCTGGCTCCAGGGTTGCGACGCTCCTGGCCACCAGAGGGAGACGACGCGCTCCTCCCAGGTCCAATCAAGCCCAACATCCTACACCTGGATAGAAGGCTTCATAAGCACAGAGAAGGAAACACACATTGCTGTGTCTTTGTCTCATCTTAAGTCAGCAGAAACAGCTGGCAATTTGGGTAAGAGGGCTGGGAGTTTTCAACTCTGTTTGTCATTTTTTTTATTTTAGCTCATCCTTCCACTGTACATAAGCTTGGCACTTGGGTCCCTAAAATCTGTGGTGGTTTAACTGGTAGGCCTGGGTTCACATCCTCTATCTTGTGAGCCATCCCTCGTTACAAAGAGAAGAGACAAAGCACATTTATGAAGTGAAAGACAGAAACATCTAGGACAACAGATCATCTTAACATCCGTTTTATTGGCTTCAAATGTGTTATATAACAGATTATAAAGAGGCCATTCACATTTCAATGCACTTCTATTCATTACTTTAATATTTAATTTTCACAATGAGAAAAGCATGAAGGCAGAGGCAGTTCTTCCATTGCAGTAAGACTTTATAAATCTTACTGTTTATCTCCCCCTAGTGGAGAAGTGTGAAATGAAGCATAAAACTGCTAGAGCTCTGGGTTAAATACTGTCACTCAGCTGAATCTAAAGGATATTCATACTGCACTGCTGTTCACCATCAAATCACTTTGACTAAACATGAAGCGTAAAACTGCTGGAGCTCTGGGTTAAATACTGTCACTCAGCTAAATCTAAAGGACATTCATACTGCACTGCTGTTCACTATCAGAATCACTTTGACTAAACACTACCAGCCATGCAGCAGAGTTTGGCACATATGGTGCTAAAAAGTCAAAATGTCTACAATCAGGTCAAACACACATGCAGAATGTAGAAGACACACTAAAAGCATCATATTTTATATTAGATGTGGGCAGCATGACAATATTTATCATGATAAAGTTTGTTACACAATATACTTTTCTAGATATTACCTGTGATTAAAGAACACAGACCAACCACATGTTTCATCATGAAGAGAGTATAATCAGTCCTGTTTAACTGGACTTAGTGCAGTGCACTGTAGGAAATGTTGAATATAATTAATTGTATCCAGAGTTTTGTTGGTAGTTTTTAATGTGCCTCTACTAGTGCACTATGTCTGTGTGAAAATACCATGATACATACTGTGTATTGTGAAAATGTCTGTAAGTATCGTGATATGGTGTTTTTGCCATGTTGCCCACCCAGCACGTTTACATACAGCAGAGTAGTTTATGTAAATGCAGTATGAGCTGTATGTACAATCCACCATTTGTATTGTTAGACTAAGCTTTAGGTTCAACTTCAGGAGGCAGAGAGAGAGAGAGAGACAGTGATGTTGAGTTGAGTGAGGTGGTGGTTTGAGGGAAAATAGGTTTGTGATGGTGAGAGGAGTCAGAGTTCATCTTAATCACCTCTGAATTCTTAATTACCTTCATAAAGACAGTAGAGCTTCAGTTCAGGTGAGTGCTGTTAATTTTGTTGTTGGTTAAAAAAAACATAGTTCAGCTGTGGCTACCTGTAATGGCTAAAAATAAAGTCATTTCTATTTTTAAAGTCATTTAACTTGAGCATTAAACTTGTGTGGTGGTCTATTTGTTTTGTGTTGCTACCTCTTAACCTCAGACTAGAGCTTGGTAGGTTTTAGACCTAGTATTGAACCTACTGAAAGGGGTCATAATGAGTCTCTCTCTGTGCTCCTAAAATGCAGCCTTATATCTGTGTGTGTGTGTGTGTGTGTGTGTGTGTTGTTGGTCTAACATATATATATATTATACACATATATGGGTTTTATGACATTTGATTGGTCACTAAAGGTGCAGTCACTTATTTACAGGAAGTGCTTCCTCAGATCTCTGTGTGTGTGAATCTCTTCAGGTTCGGCATCTGAGTGTTCAGATCCTGTAAGACAGAAACAGAACAGAATGATCAGACATGAACTCTCATCACCGTCACACCATCAACTCAGAGCTCCTTCTTTAAACACTCTCTAACTTTAATTCAACTCTATTAACACTGTATAAACTCCTCATCTCACTCAGACTGAGATCAGACACAGAACAGAAAGATCAGACATGAACTCTCATCACTGTCACACCATCAACTCAGAGCTCCTTCTTTAAACACTCTCTAACTTTAATTAAACTCTATTAACACTGTATAAACTCCTCATCTCACTCAGACTGAGATCACAAACGATAACTCTGTAATGACTACAATCAAATGGTACAGTGATTTTGGTGTATTGTCTAGAGGAATGGACCAAAACTGAGCTCTAATGGGCCGTCTTGATTTTGTTTTAAAACATATTGGAGCCACTGATCTGTCCTTTGCTTAGCAGCAGTTTAGTCTCCCTTTAATACAGCTGTGTATTAAATTAAACCTGATTGTTCAGTTGAAACAAGCATGAGTCTACGTGATCCACCGCTAAACTTCGGCTAAACTGGAAATTCTGTCAAATTACATCATGATCAATCTAACTAAAGCAAAACACTGCATAATAAACCGCATAATGAAAAAAATCTATATTTTTATCCAATGACAAATGTTAAAACAGTATTCCTTCAGTTTATTTACAAGTATAGCACACTGTAACAGCCTTTTTAATTTCAGACGTAACCTAACACAGCAATGGAGTTTATGAACTCAGGTTAAACTTTAAAACACAGCTATGCTAAAGTGCAATTGCCCCATCATATTTATCAACATTATATTTTTGTAACACTTTCTATGAATGTCACCTTTGTAAGCATCTATAAGCACATTCATAACAAGTCATAATGTATGTATAAGACATTATAAACATAGCTATAAATATTTATAAAATGCATATGTTATAGCCATGTTTATTATGCATTATGAATTGTTAACATAATACATTATAAGTACTGATCATAACAAATTATAAGAGCTCATAAGTTGTATTTGTCCGCTCTAAGTAAAGTGAAGCGTACTGTACTAAAGCCTCCTCCAGTGTTAAGAGTGAGGCTTCAAGTTGAAGTATTTACTGAAGTATTTACTGAAACACTAAAACATAAACAGTAAAGCACATTACAGGCTTCAAATGTCAGAGTTTAAACTAGTGCTGCCATCAGTGTTTTACCCAATGTGGGAAAGGTAATGTACACCACCGTTAGCTTGGTATTTGTCTTTACTTTACGCTGTCTAAGCTGGGACTGACTTCTTTGGCACTGACATTATAACATGTTATTAACATTATTTATAATGCATTATATTAACAATTCATAATGTATAATAAACATGGCTATAAAGTGTAATCCAATGTAATTAATTTTTATAAATATTTATAACCATGTTTATAATGTCTCATGCATACATTATAACATGTTATGTGTTTATAGATGCTTACAAATGCGACATTCTTAGAAAGTGTTACCTATATTTTTTGTTCAAAATTTTAGTCAAAATTATAATAGAATTTGTGTATAATTACACGATCATGTGTAAATTTGAAGTAGAAATGTGCACTGGAATTATTTTAAATAACAAAAACAAAAGTGTCTGAATGCTTGTTTCTCCTTACTGTAGGTAAAACTGTAAATATTTCTGCAAATGGAAATTTGGCTCATGTAAAAAAGGTGTAATTTGTGTGTGATGGGGGGTGGTTGCAGGGGGTTACAGCCTCTCCAAAAATCTTAGCTCAGCCATGCCACTTCCTAATAATGAATTTGGATAATAAACATTTAGTAACAAAGCATGACAAAATATTGGTTTTACTGATATAATAGATGCTACTCTAAAAAAACTTAAACCTAAAAAAGATGTGACAAATATTTATTAAGATGTTTTGGTTGCCCCTCCCCCAGTTCTAAAAACTTGGTTGCACCCAGAGCAGAAACAGGAGTTTTCTCTGGCTTCACACTGAAGTTCCTCAACAAGCTTGTCACAATCAGCTAAAGAGCTGCCACGAGTCAGAAGTGTTCTGACATGTCGCTTTATGAAAAAAGATGTTTAATCCAGTGTTTAGTGTACAATAGCCTTCCCTACAACAGACTGTGGGCTTCAGACTGTCAGTACGCATCACTCAGTCTGAGACTGAGACTAACGTTAGCATGAGTATTATTTGTGGTTGTGTTAGCTAGAACTTATAGTTGAACTTAAAGTAGCTTTATATCTAGCTGATATGACAGGCTGTAATATTTTTCCACAAGTCTCCTGTTCAGAGAGCGTTTAGAAGAGCCTCCAGTGGCAAGATAGGTTTTATTTTGTGACACTGTAAGTATTTGCCTAATGGCTAACTGACTATATTATCTAAAGGGAGATCCAGTAAATGAACTTCCTTTACAAGTTCACATTTACCTTACTGTGTCTACCATCTGGTAAACTGTGACATGTGAAGAAGGCATGTGATTCCACAGGCTGTTTGGATTGGCTGCTCAATTCTGTCACCTTGAGGAAGTAAATTAATAAAATTTAATAGTGGTTAAAAGCTGCTGCCTGCTCATAACTGTGTGGGTGTGTCAGAACACAAAATACAGAAGTGTCTCCCAGGCAACGTAAACAACCCGGCTCCAGTGGCAGTGGTGAACAACACTGAGTGCGTTTACATGCACTCAATAATCCAATCATAATCTGATTTCTGCAGTTATCCAGTTACTCAAATGGTCATGTAAACAGCATACTCTGATCTAGAAATCAGATTAAGAAATCTGTTAGAGGCTGGATTTTAGCTCAGTAATCAGTCTCAGTGCTGTAAACTCTTACTCTGATTTCTTTCAGATTTCTCAGTCTGTGCATGTGCGGAACAGACTCCTGTACCGAAATAAGTGAGCAGCGTTGCCGTGAGATGGCAGCAAAACACTTTTGAAGCAATGCTGAAACCTATTTTTCCACATGGCTGAAAGCCTCTGGACACCAACAGAGAGCTCTGTTTAACCCCTCCAATGTTTAACTCAGAGTTATGGCCTTGTCATGATGGTGATATGGTCCAAGGACAATCTTTAATATAAAAATGTCTCTAACATCAAGCTAAGGGGTTTAATGCTACACAGCTCTTACACACAGCAACAAGCAGCTACACATGTATCTGATGCACAAGGATTTGAAACTTGTAACAGACATTCAGGTACAAATTTGTTTGTATGCACTTTATGGTGAATCATTTAATAAACATTTCAACTTTACTCTGTGTTTATTTACCTGCTCTGATCTGCTCAGTGGAGGTAGTTTAGCACACAGTCAGACTGTGACAGTGTAGTGGGAGTTTATGAAAGCAGAGCTGATCTGAGTGTCTACAAATCTCTGGTGAAGCTGCAGTTCGTTTGACTGATTTTGCAGGAGTAGTAATTTTAGATGACAGAATTACTGAATACAGTCACGTGTCTAGCGTCCACACTGATCTCCAAACTCCATGAGGCTGATGGAGCTGCAGGCTGAGACTGTGTGAGCTGTTTCTGTTCTTCACTGGATAAGAAAACACAGTGAGTGTGGAGAGAAGAGACTCAGACTTCTCACACCTGCAGTTTTATCACTTTTTAAATACTTTTAGACTCTCTTTCTTTTTCCTTTCCATTTACTCTTCTATTTGTCTGTATTATCATTCCTTTTTAGCATCATGAAACTGTTTTTGGAGGAGATTGTCAAATCCATCTGACAAAGGTGTTTTGGCACTTTTGGACTCTTTTCTTAGAGAATCAAAACTCAACTGATATTTTAAAAATGTGTAAATTAAGAAATATAAGACAGTAAAAGACTGCACAGTGCTGAGTGTTTGTGTGTGTGTGTGTGTGTGTGTGTGTGTGTGTGTATAGATTTAACAAGTCAGTAACTCACCGTAGTTTCTTCAGATTGCAGGATGAATCCTTCTGTATATCGGAGAGTATTTTCACTTTTGAATCTCCTAGATTATTGTTTTTCAGGTTAAGCTCTCTCAGCTGTGGTGAGGGCTTTGATTTCAGAGCTTCAATGAGAGCATCACAGTGGTCATCTGTAATATTGCACTCAAACAATCTGCAGAGAGAGGAAAAACACCTCACACTTACAGATAAATGCACACAAGTAACAAGAAAAGCAGACATTAAACACCAAAACACACACACACACACACACACACACACACACACACACACAAACTAACTAAAAGACGTAACATTGCTGTTGTTACCAGCTGCCTTGTGATGTTTCCTAGCTATGTGACCCTCATTATTCTCTTAGCATGTATGTTATTCATTCAACAAATGTATTTCCATCATAATCCACAAAAATTATCTACACTTTTATTCAATATTTGCTGTTCTTATTAAGTCTTTTTACTCAATATGTCAAATATATCATATCTCTAATTGGATATCTAAAGTGCTGTACAAATACTGTCCATTTAATTATTATTATTATTATTATTATTATTATTATTATTATGTTTATATTATTATTATGTTTATATAGCACCTTTCCTAAGCTCAATTTCGATTTTATAGGGCATCCAAAACAGGCCAGGCTAACTAACACAAGTCTTAAAAACTTAAAACAAGAGGGACAATGTAAAGGAAAGCAAACGCACAACAAACATGCACAGTAATAGCAAAGTAACAAATAACAACAGAATAACAAATGTCATTAGAAGATCATAAGGAAAAACCAAATGAAGTTACGATAGAAGATAAGTAATGATTGAAAGCTTTGTAAGAGGAAATGGATGAGCAGTCACAAATGTGTTTGGGCGAGGACAGCTTAGGGGCTTTAGCACTAAAGGACCAACTACCCCAGAAGGCAGTCTAACCCGGGGGATAACCAACAGCCCAGAACCAGAAGACCTAAGTTCACATGAAGGGATGTGCACATGAAGGAATGAAGTATGGAGATGTCAGACCATGTAGCACCCTAAAAGTAATCAGAAGAGTCTTGTATTTAATAGTTGACGCATATAAATCAGGAAAAGGATGGGACCACAAACAGAACCTTGAGGAACCCCTTGAGTAATTGGGGTAGTAGAGAATTTGTGTTGACCTTTAGTAATAAACTGCTGTCTGTCAGCAAAGTAAGATCCAAATCACTGAAGGTCAGTGCCTGTAATCCTGATTGAGGAAAGATGGGACAAATGTATGTTGTGATTTAAAGTATAGAAAGCAGCACTAAGGTTGAGAAGAAGTATGTTAATAGCACCTGCATCAGCAGGAGATCATTACTTTCAACAGGGCAGCTTCTGTGCTATGAAATTATGATTGTGTTCCAATAAAAATGCCTGAACCTGCAAAGCAACTACCTTTTCCAATACTTACCCTAGAAACGTAAAGTTAGAGATTGTGGAATAATTTCAGAAAAATGTTCCCCAATGTAAAATTCCAAAGACTTTGGACATTTCACCATCTACAGTACATAACATCATCAAAAGATTCAGAGAATCTGGAGAAATCCCTGTACGCACGGTACAAGGCTGACAATCAATATTGGATGCTCATGATCTTCAGGCCCTCAGCATTTTTAATGCAGGCAGCACTGCATTAAAAACAGGCATGATTCTGTACTGAAAATCACTGCATGCGCTCAGGAACACTTCCAGAAATCACTGTCTGTGAACACAGTTCACCGTGAAATCCACAAACGCAAGTTAAAGCTGTATCATTCAAAGAAGAAGCCATATGTCAACAATATCTAGAAACGTTGCCATCTTCTCTGGGCAAAAGCTCATTTAAAATGGATTGAGGCAAAACAGAAAACTATCCTGTGGTCAGATGAATACATTATTTAATTCTTTTAGGAAACCACGGACGCCATGTCCTGTGGACTCAAGAGGAGAGAGACCATCCAGTTTGTTATCAGCACACAGTTCAAAAGCCTGCGTGTCTGATGGTTTGGGGTTGCATTAGTGCCTATGACATGAGCAGCTTACACATCTGGAAAGGCTCTATCAATGCTGAACAGTGTATAGAGGATTTAGAATGATATATGCTCCCATTTCCTTAAAAAAATCATTAATATTACACTTTAATTCTGACATCCATGCAAAATTTCAAAGCTGTGCTCCAGGTACTTTTTAAATTATGATTTTTTAAAAGTTTGTCCCAAATTAAAAAAAAAGGTTTGCCCCACTGATTTCTTTATAATTTGCCCCATTCAATGACTAAACACAGCTAAAATGTTAAATATTAAAAAATAGAAATATTAACAAAGAAAACATACTGCCTTTGAAATAAGTGTGCAGGCTTTCTAGAGCATTATAAAATTTGAAATGGAAATCCAACGTTCAACGTTTAACTATTTGTGATTATTATGCTTGTTAGCCAAAAATGTCATGTTTAAAAAACATTAAACCATGAGGGAGTCATAGTACATCTGTAAGCAAACTAAATATATAATATGTAATTTAGAGCCAATAGGGCAAAACTTTAAAAACTACTTAAAAAGAAAGTACAAAAAACTACATAAAAACAGTGCCGTCAAAAACAATTTGTATGGCACAAACCAGCACAAATGAATAGTAGTATTTTTATTCCATTTCTGACCACTTTGGGGGCAAGCTTCGTGGAGGTCTTGAGACAGGGATGTCATCAAGACCAGTGGGCCAAAACTAGGGTGTGCCCATGAGTATGAGTGGCTCAAGCTGGGTTAAGTTAAAACCTTCAAGGCTATGCAAGAATTTAGCTGTGAGGGGACAGCTAGTATCAACATGTACACTATATTTCCAAAAGTATTCGCTCGTCTGTCTTCACATGCATATGAACTTTAGTGACATCCCATTCTTAATCCATATGGTTTAATATGATGTCGGCCCACCCTTTGCAGCTACAGGGTTTAGGAGTGTGCACTGCTTAAACTAGACTTACAAGAGTTATTTACTTTAACACTTTAAAAACAAAAAAACTTGTGTTTGTAAACTTTGTGTTTGTGAATGTGTTTGAGAGAGAGAATAATCAATGATTTTAAGTATGCAAAGTATGTTGTTTGTTTGTGTGTGTGTGTGTGTGTGTGTGTCTACAGGTAGTAATTCAGTAACTTACTGTAGTTTCTCCAGTTTACAGTTTGGATCCTTCAGTAGATCAGAGAGCTCCTTTATTGCTGACTTTCCTAGATTATTGTAATTCAGATCCAGCTCTCTTAGGTAAGATGAGTTTGATTTCAGAGCTTTAAACAGAGCAGCACAGCCTTCATCTGTAACACTGCAGTTTCCCAGCCTGCAGAGAGAAGAAGAAAACCTCCTTACACTAACACTTATTTTCTGATTTACACTCTGTTCACAATTTACACTCATATGCAAATGTTTAGGCACCCCTGGTCAAATTCCTCATTGTGTTCATTTTAAATTACGTTCAAAGTTAAAACCTGTAGGTAAAATTACAGCATACAGTATTAAGTGTTCTTAGCCAAAAAAGTTGTGTTTGTTTTCTTTGCGCTCTCTATGGTGTTTCTTCAACATGTACATCTGCTTAGTGAAAGATTTAAGTATTTTGTAGATACCAATCCCAACTAATTTGAATAGTGCATTCCATTTAATATGTCGCTTTTAAGTATTTTTATATTCAGTATGTTGAAATATGCATAAAAATATGTGAACGGTGATCTAGCTTTTGTCTCCTTCAGTAATGTTCATTAGTGGGCCATACCCAAATTTCTCTAAAGCTGTTCTGTGAAGGTTATAAATAAGTTAGTGCTGTGCAAATACTATACACTTGAAATGAATTGATTTGAATTCACCACAACTCATGCCACTCTTGGTCCACACAAAAATCATTAAATTTCTGGACACATTACATAACATTCTCATGTGAAATACAGATCTTCAGTTACAGAAAGCTTTGTAGATGTTCCTGCTAAAGGTGATACAACCAGTTATTAATTTTATGGGGGACAATTATTTTTTCACATGGTTAAATGTGTTGCAAAACATTTTCCTTTCAATAAATTATTTTTCTGATGCTACCACACTATGACTATGAAGGCTGACAGAGGCATAAAGCTCTACCACATACTTGCAAACTGCTACAACTGCAACATCATTGGAGAGCACAATGTGCTTGGAGAGGAATGCTAACTGCTAATCCTCATATCAGCTAACAGACACCTGTGTTGGCTAGTGCTGAGTGCTGTTGGGAAAGGTAGGCCCACCTTACCCATCTAGAAAGAGGAAGAGAAGTTCTCTTGGACTCCCAGCTGTGGCATCACCAGTGATCAAACTCACGATCTTTTGATGATAACGGCAAGTGCTCAGTATGAAGATGCAAATACTTTTTCATAGCCCTGTAGGTGTGGTGTTGTGTCCAAACAAAAATAGCAGACAAGATGAAGCTAACATCAAACTGGATATCTGTTGACACAGGCTAACCCCTAGTCATCTTCAGATTTACAAAATCAGCAGAGGTTCCTGGAATCCTGGTAGTTTCAAGGCTGGACATTTTTTATAAACTCCTTTTATCTGTATGTGTGGCTTTGTGTGTGTGTGTGTGTGTGTGTAAGAGAGAGAGAGAGAGAGAGAGAGGGAAATAGAGAAAAAAAATTTTTTTTTGTAGTTTGTAACACTATTTTTCAGCTGATCCTGTTTGTTTGTTTGTGTATGTGTGTTTGTGTGTTTTTCTAAATTCTCTTTCATTATGATTGAAAAATGACTGTGTGTGTGATGTACTGTACATCCACAGTGAGAAAGTGATGAACTCACCTCAGTTTCTCCAGTTTACAGTTTGTACTCAGTCCCTCAGAGAGCTTCTTCACTCCTGAATCCTGCAGTTTATTGTTACTGAGGTTCAGTTCTGTCAGGGTTGAGTCCACTGAGCTGAGAGCTGAGGCCAGGTCTGCACAGCTTTCCTCTGTTAGATGGCAATCAAAAAGCCTGGGAGAGAAACAATAACACTGTCATCTCTCTCTCTCTCTCACACACACACACACACACACACACACACACACAAAGCATTCAAAATGAAGCAATGAGAAGACTGTCTAAAATGTGAAAATAGCTTTTGTAGTTTTTTTGAGTGGGTAAAAAGGCATACTTCCATAATACAGAGTACAGTACACAAACAGCATACGGAAATTCCCTGGATGATGTACTTCAGTGGGACAAATCATGACATATGTGACCACAGCTCACTGTTCTGTGATTCCACTGGAGCTGAAAAGCTGATTGTGTCTGGGGGATCATTTCTTAATAGTGTTGGTAGCTTTAACAAGCTACAGAAAAAACAGTATTTTTATTTAAATCACTAAATACAAAATAAATAATAAATAATAATGAATAAATTCTACTACTTTCAGTAACTGTACATGTATTTTTTAACTTGTGCAGTCTGTACAATGACAGGTGGTGAACAAAGAGACAATGGAGCTGGATTAGATACATATGAATCTTTAGGGTAGCCACTTTTTATGCATGATTTACCAGGAGTGTAAAAAGTACTGGGGTGACCGGGCATAGGACAGGCCTTCTCTGTATTGTTAGCTCATCAGTGTACCCATAAGTCTGTGTGTAACCCTGTCACAGTGTAAACATTAGCCATGTAGCTCTAGTTAGCCTGTTCTGTGTTACTGTTATGCCCTACACTGTGGTACAGGAATGGATTACTGACCGGGCCAGTGGGGCCAGTACCTGAGGGTCTCACACTGTCAGGGGCCCCAGACTGCCAGGGGTCTCAGGGTCCACAAGGCCAGAGGCATCTTAAAGACTGTTATTTTTGTGTTGTCAGAGTATGGGGGTTAGGGAGCCTTATTACACCATAATTCATCCCACAATTAGAAAAAAAACTCAGAACATGCTTTTATACATTAAAAGAAAACATTAATTCCTTTAATGCTATGCAGGAGTGAATCATACTCTAAACCTAGACTAAGCAGTGTCAGTCTGCACCTTCCTCAGCCCTCCTCCTCTCATCTTCCTCAGAAGTGTGGCCCTTCATCTTTTTCAGCAGTGCTGCTCCTCACCTTCCTCATTATTTATATAAATTTGTTTATATGTTTTAATAAATTTAAATATAGAGACTTAGACCTTTTAAAGTCTAAGTGAAAATGTAATGCCGCATTAGCTTGTTTGATGTAGACAGATATTTCTTTATTTCCAACAAAAAATTCCAGCACTGTCATCGACAATGTTCTACTTTCCACTTACTGCCAAGAGTTTCATTTTCCCAGCTTTTGCCATCAACTGTGATAGTAAAATACACAGAGTGGTGATTTTTTGGGAGCCATAAATACAGAATGTCTCATTGTGCAGGATCACTCAGTATTATACAACAAAAAAGAGTACAGAGTGCTCTTCTGTCTTCACTTTTAAGCTTACAGGAGGAATCAACACTGCTAAAGGTCTCCACTAATTAACATCCATTTTCACGCCTATACTGTCACTATGTTTTCTTTTTTGTGTGCTGCCATTGGTTGCAGAAGGCTTTGAAGCACAGAGCAACGCTATTTTCAGCACCAACATGTTAACACTGTAATAGAAACTGAAAGTTACTGAGTTACTGTTAATGCTTAGAAGTATTTAATTTCACATATACTTAAGTAAAATACAAATCATCCAAATAGTAACAAAGTACAATCACTAAAGTATTTTATACCCCTGTGTTTATAAACTGGATCTCTGTTGACACAGGCTCACCCCTAATCATCTTCAGATGTTCAAAACCAGCAGTGGTTCCTGGAATCCTAGCAGTTCCAAGGCTGGAAACTTTAAAAACTCCCTTTCACCTGTGTGTGTGTGTGTGTGTGTGTGTGTGTGTGTGTGTGTGTGTGTGTGTGAGAGTGTGTGTGTTTGTATGTGTGTGAGAGAGAGAGAGAGAGATAGAGAGAGACAGAGGGGGAAAATGTTTTTTTTAAATGCTGTGTTTTGTGAAGTTACTCACTTTTTTCAGCTGATTCTATGCAAGTGTGTTTGTATGTGTGTGTGCTTTTCTAAATTATTTCTTTCATTACTATCACGATAAGTGGGTGTACTCCACACTGAGAAAGGGATGATCTCACCTCAGTTTTTCCAGTTTACAGTGTGTATTTTTCAGTCCCCTACAGAGATTCCCCACTTCTCTGTTGATACTCAGGTCCAGTTCTCTCAGTGTTGAGTTCTTAGCCCTGAGAGCTAAGGCTAGAAGTGTACAGCTATTCCCTGTGAGATCACATTTAATTAGGCTGGGAGAGAAACAATAACACTATTATCACACACTTAACATTTAACATGAAGTAATGAGAAGATATTTAAAATGTGAATACAGGTTTTGTAGTACATGACAGCAGTACACCATAATGTGCTTATTGTGTCTGAATATATAGTGTTCATCAGACAGCACACGAAAATTCCTTGAATGATGCACTTCACCGAGACAAATTATGAAGTATACAATCCCAGCTCACTGTCCCATGATGCCATTGGAGCTGAAGAGCTGATTGTGTCTGAGGGATGTCATGTAACAACAGTGTAAGTAGCATAAGTAGCTTCAACAGACAACAGAAAAAAACTACAAGCCCAACTGTATACAATTTAAAGTCCTGGCAAGCTAAGGCAAAGCAATTTTATTTATATGGCATGCATTTCATAAACCAAGGCAATTTAATGTGCTGTACAAAAAAAATAAAAAAAAAGACTGCATAAGAGTGAAAAACAACAAAAGATAAAAATATTTTAAATATATCAATAAAAGAAAGTACAAACTACAAAAAAATCAAAGTACAATAAAAACATAATTGGGAATTAACAACTGAATTGTTATTAAAATTAGCCTATTAGGTGTAAAGTGCAGTAAAAATAACATGCAATTCAAATATGGATTTTAAAATTGCTACAATTGGGCACATATAAGATCTTCTGGCAGTTTGTTCCAGTTGTAGCAGCATAACTGCTAAACGCTACTTCACCATGATTAGTTTGGACTCTGGGCTTGACTAATTGTCGAATTAATTTCAAAATTAAAGAAGGCTGTTTGGTTATTGCTTTGACATGGTTGATAAAGGTGAGATCTGAGTCTATCAGAATGCCAAGATTTTGGACTTGGTCTTTGGCTTTTAGAGCCTGAGAATTGAGGTGCTCAGTAATAATAATTCTCTTTTCTTTATTGCCAAACACAATAATCACAGTTTGTCCATATTTAATTGTAGGAAATTATAGTTCATCAAATTAGTTTTATGCCCACATCCAAATATTGACACAGTGAGTCTACTGGGCTGTAGTCATTTGGTGAGAAAGTCAGATATATCTGTGTATCATCTGTGTAACTATTGTAATTAATGTTGTTGTTCTGTGGAATTTGGCCCAAAGGCAGCATATAGACTGAACAGAAGAGGTCCAAAAACTGAGCCCTGAGGGACTCCACATATCATAGCCAGTCCAACTGCCAAAGGTGACAAAGTAACTTAAGCCTTCTAAATAAGACCTCAACCAATTAAGGACTGCTCCAGAAAGTCTTAATTTCCTACTCAATTTTCTGACCTGTTCATAAGTATTCTATGACAGTGTCAAATGCAGCACTAAAATTAAGTAATACCAGAATTGATATTTTACCTCAGTTAGTTTTCAGATGTATATCATTTAACACTTTTGTAAGAGCTGTTTCAGTACTGTGCTTAGGTTGGAAGCCTGACTGAAATTTGTCTAAATAAACACTGGAGTTAAAAAATTGCTGCAAATCAGTTGTTACAGAGTAAAAATAAAATAAAATTTTTTGGTGAATTTTATTAAATTGTGACAATGATTAAGACATTTCTAGATGGTGGTAAAGGAGGCACAGTATCATTGTTTGACTGTGTGGTGTTGATGGTGATTCTAATTAGTTGTGATTTTTTCACTGAAAATCCATTGTTATGACAAAGTTGTATTCAATGGAGATAACTGACAGTAGTTCAGCAAAGACATCAGTAAAATCTGTAAATAGTTAAACATTTTTGGGAGCACCCTTTAATGTTAAACAGCGGTATATGAAACAGATAAAATAAATAAAATTACCAGGTACAATCTCTTTGCACTGGAATGAATCTTAAAATAAAGCAGCTACTCCTCCTCCTTTACCAGTTCAGCACGTATTCATAAAACTGACGTTTACTGGTGCTGTCCCGTTGAGAACAGTAGCAAAGCTGCTACTATGCCAGACACAGTAAGAAACAGAAAAATCTAAATTGTAGGATGTTATAATGTCTAACTAAAATTGATTTATTGGCTAGAGACCTGATATTAATCAACACAGGAATAAAGAACATATAAAGTATTAATTAAATTACTTTTCCGCTTCTTATAATAAAAGTAATCCCAATTACAAATTTAGAGTCATCAGTTCATAATAACTTACTCAAGAATATTTTTGTTTTGGAGCAAATATTCTTCATTTTGTCTATTTTCTTTTCTCAGTGAGGACAGCTACACATCCTTTCTGACCCATAGCACTGAGTCGTCCTCTCACAGTGGAAGGATGGACAGAAACATCTGTGGATATTTTCAGAAGCAGCTTGATTTTCTCCTCTCTCTCAAAGATGAAATCTTTAAGTGCGTTTTCTATCTGATGGGGGCAGTTTTGGTGTCTACCAGGTCTTCCAGGTGGTTGTTACGAGCCTCAGTAGCTCTTATTCATTTTCTAAAAGTCCAGTTTTGGAAACTGTCTCTACATTTATTCAAGTGGATTATCTTGCATCTAATGTCTTCTGAAACATCTCATGAAAAAGTAATAAATATGTAATGGCTACTGAAAATATATTCAATGTTCTTTATTCAAGATTATAGATAGATAAAGGTGATATAATTTAAAAGTGACACTTGTAATTAGAATTTTGTCATCGTTTCTATTATTGAAATAAACTGAAATGTAATTTTCTGATGTGGAAAAAGTAAGGACACCCCTACTAATATCACTACTTCAAACGTATCAAATTGAAATCACGTGCACCCTACCTGGTGCTAATGATTAGAACACTTGCCTATGAGTCTGGAAAGGGTGTTTAAGAAGATATCCACAATAGTGGAAAATGATCATTTCACTGTCTGGAAGATCATCTACAAGTGGGGGAGATTTTAAACCACTGCCAGCATATCCAGAGCTGAATCAGGTGCCTTTAATGAGGCAATGTGCTGAAGCCTGCAGTGTTTTAGCTTACAAGGACTGGTGCCTGACACGTGAACTACATTGTGCAGTACAGAACTGGCAGTTGGTGTGTTCCTGCGAGCTCATTCGACTGTCCCATGATGTTGCATTTGAGGCAGTTAAAAATAAGCAGTGGTGCTTCACAGGTCTCGATGGAAGCCTGTGCTAGCTTTCACCCTCCTAGCCCTGGTGGTATTGTGAAATTGGGGGATATATATATATATATATATATATATATATATATATATATAATATATATATCTCATATCAAGGCAATATATCTTAATTTTTTTCTCTGATAAGACTTTTTGTCTTACAAAGCACTTGTAAGTGTAAGATTATTTTGTTTATTTTTAGAACATTTACCTTGATCAGCTTTACTAAGAAATTTTACCTTATATTAAGTTATTTAGGGCTCAAAATAACCACAAAAGGTCACTGGTCAAATTATTAGGATTCATGCATCCATATTTAAGTTACAAAATCCGGGCATTTTCATGTGTTTCAAGCATTAGGCTGCTCTTACATTGTCTTCCTTCAAGGATTTTGAGATGGAGCCAAAAACACTGAACATTTATTTGTCATGATGCTTGCATCATGTATTACACAGATGCATTAAGTAATTACATTACATTACTTACAAGAAATAATATGACATCACTTGTACAAAATGTGTATAAAGGACAGGAATCTATCTGCCGTTATCAGCTCAGTGATTAAGACAGTACAGGGTAATCTCATTTATTTACATCAAAACCCAAGAGATGAGAACTCCAGTCTTGGAGGTCCAGACTCCAGTACAGTTTGGTGATTTTCCTGCTCAGGCAGATCTGATTTAACTCATCTGTTAAATACCAGATTTGTTTGGTAGGACAGAGCAGGAAAATCCCCAGACTCTGGCCTTCATTTCCCTACCCCTGTACCACACAGTGACACACTTTCGAGTCATAATTGTACTTCATAACAATATTGCATAAAAACAGTGAGAGTTTGACAGCGAGTGTGAGAGAGTTTGATAGTGTGTGTAAGAGGTTTGATCATGAGTGAGAGTTTGATAGTGTGATGAGAGAGAGTTTGATAGTGTGTGTAAGAGGTTTGATCATGAGTGTGAGCATTTGATAGTGTGATGAGAGAGAGTTTGATAGTGTGTGTAAGAGGTTTGATCGTGTGTGAGAGTTTGATAGTGTGTGAGAGAGTTTGAAAGTGTGTGTAAGAGGTTTGAAAGTGTAAGAGGTTTGATCATGAGTGTGAGAGTTTGATAGTGAGTGTGAGAGAGTTTGATAGTGTGTGTAATAGGGGTGCGGGAAAAACTCGATTCTTAGATGCATCACGATGCAGACGTGAACGATTGTGAATCGATTAACAAATGTCAAAAAACGATTTTCTAAATATTTATTTTATAACGTAAAGTTGACAGAACAAAAGGCGGAACTTGCAAGTGCGGAAGTGCAGCACCTGGACAGTCTGTGGGGGCACATAACAAAAACACTACTGGATGAGTGAGAAATCTGACCAGCAGCCTCTGCATTAAAGCCAGGTTAGATCAGGAGACACAACACAAATGACAAGAAGAGCCATTTTGTCCTTTCAACAAAAATCAAACCAGCTTGGGAGACACAACATTTTATGTCCAGTATGTGTCAGTATGTGATAATTTCCTAGTATAGACTAAACAATATAAATGAGAGCGCAGACTTACTTCGCTCTGCTTTAAGCTTTAGCTCAGCCATAGCCGCTTTCCTCCCCTTTCCCTCAGGAAACTTTTATTCAAAACTAGAGCAGCTTATTGTAAAATGTCTTTCAGCTTTTGGCTGTTTTACGAGGCTGAAGTCGCTTCTCATTTGCCAGCTTCTTGTTCAGTTTTTCCCGTTCCACCTTAAATTCTGACTGAGTCGCCGAATGTAAATGCGACACCATTTAAGGTGGAATGGGAAAATTCGAAAGAGAAGCAACTTCATCTTCATAACTGTTTAGTGTTTGACAGTCTCTCATTGCAGATTTTATGTACCAGGAAACCAACTGCGCTGCTTATAAATGCGAATAACGCATTGTTGCTAGGTGACCTGC